CGATCTCAATATGTTTGGTCCTTTCATGAAATACTGGATTATTAGCAATCTGGATGGCACTCTTATTATCACAGTAGAGAGGAGTAGGAGTCGTAACAGAAATACCGAAATCACTGAGAAGGCGACGAAGATGAATAATCTCTTTAGCTGTTGTGGACATTGCACGATACTCTGCCTCAGTACTGGAAAGAGCAATAACATCTTGTTTCTTACTTCGCCAGGAAATAAGGGAATCACCAAGAAATATACAATAACCTGTGGTAGACTTTCTGGTAGTTGGATCACCAGCCCAATCAGCATCAGAATATGCACAAAGCTCTAACTTAGATGTAGCAGGAAACAAAAGTGAGCGAGTGCTAGTACCCCGGAGGTACCGAAGAATCCGTAATAAGACAGCATAGTGTACAGAACGTGGGGCACTAACAAATTGACTGACAATACCAACAGCATGAGAGATATCTGGTCGAGAGATGCACAAATAGACCAACTGACCAACAAGATGTCGATATCGGGTAGGATCAGATAGAGGCTCACCGTCAGTAGAGCAAAGTTTGACATTCTGCTGGAGTGGAGTATCGACAGTTGTATTATCAGTTAACTCAGCTTGATTTAGAATATCTGAGAGATACTTCTGTTGAGACAGTAATACACCCCGCGGGCCTTGAGAAATTTCTAGACCAAGGAAATACCGAAGAGATCCAAGATCCTTCATGTGGAACTGTTGTTGCAACTGAGATTTTGCGTATTGTATACCTGTCATATCATCACCTGTAATGATCATATCATCTACATAGATGAGTAATAAAACCCTGCCACGCGATGTAGTGCGAACAAACAGAGAAGCATCTTGATGACTTTCTATAAAGCCCGCTTTGAGCACAACATCGCGAAAACACTCAAACCAAGCGCGGGGTGCCTGTTTGAGACCATAAACAGCACGACGAAGGAGACATACATGTCCCGGAGGAATATTTGACCCTGGAGGCGGTTGCATATATACGGTCTCTGATAAAGAGCCATGAAGAAAAGCATTTTTGACATCCATCTGGTATAAGGGCCAACGATGAGCAGCAGCGACCGCAAGGAGAGTACGCACAGTGGGCATCTGAGCAACAGGAGCAAAGGTCTCCTCATAATCAATACCTTGTTGCTGAGTAAAACCTCTAGCCACTAAACGAGCTTTTCGACGTTCAATGGTGCCATCAGGACGAAACTTGACCTTATAAACCCATTTACTGCCAACAAGAGAGATCCCAGGAGGACAGGGAACAATATCCCAGGTATGAGTTTGCTGAAATGCTTGAAATTCCTCAGCCATAGCTTGTCGCCACTCTGGAATTTGAACTGCCTCTTGGAAGGACTTTGGCTCAACAATAGTATGAATGGCAGCAAGAAAGTTATGAAAGATAGGTGAATAAGAAGTAACAGAAGCATACCGGGCAGGCATGACATGTGGGCGTTTGCCTCGACGAAGAGCAAGAGGAACCTCAGGCGGGGGAGATGCTGGCGCAGGTGCATGAAGATCAACAGTATTTTCTGGAGTGAGAGTTGTGTCCACAGGATATGGATTAGATGGTGTAAGAGAAGACTCAGGTGAGGAAGAGTCAACAGAAGGAGAGGGAGAGATGTCAGGGAGATCTCGAAAGGAAAATTGAGGTGAAGAAGTGGGTGATGCAGTGGACGGGGAAGCATGATCGGTAGAGTGGAGGAAATTAAAGTCATCAGAAGTAGAATAATATGGAGAATCCTCTTCGAACTGAACATGACGAGATATATGAACTCGACGAGTTGCGGGATCATAACAACGATAACCTCGATGTTCTGAACTAATTCCTAAATAAACACAAGAAACTGCTCTGGGAGACAATTTATCACGTTCGTGAGATGGCAGAAAAACAAAACATCGACAACCAAAAACGCGAACTAGATCATAACGGGGAGGATGAGTATAAACACGACTATAAGGAGTAGCACCGGAAAGAGAGCTAGATGGAGTGATATTAATGGCATGAGTCGCGGTGAGAATAGCCTCAGCCCAGAAACGACGAGGAACAGAGTAAGAAATGAGCATTGATCGGGCAGTATCGAGGATATGACGATGTTTGCGTTCAGCAACACCATTTTGCTCATGAGTGTAGGGACATGACTGTTGAAAGATAGTCCCATGAGAGGACATGATAGAGCGCATGGCAGAGGATAGGTACTCTTTGGCACAATCAGAACGAAAAACTTTAATACGAGATTGCCATTGAGTGAAAATCATAGCAGTGAAGGCTTGATAAGCAGTAAGTACGTCAGAGCGATTCTTAAGTAGGTAAACCCATGTAAAACGAGAGAAATCGTCGATAAAACTAACATAATATAAGTAGCCAGATGAAGAAGGCAAAGGAGCTGGCCCCCAAATATCAGAATGTACTAAATCAAATAAGGAAGTGGATACAGATGTACTCATTTTAAATGGTAAAGCAGTGAATTTAGCCAATTTGCAACCAGCACATGACTCAATACTAGAACTAGATGATACAGGACCAAGTACTCCAGACTGAATAAGACTCTCCAGCCTTTTATTACACACATGACCAAGTCGTCTATGCCATAAATTGGCAGGAAGCGAGGTAGAGGGTTTTGACGAACAAAGAGAAGCAACAAGAGAACGTGGACGTATGGACTCTGGAAGGTGAAGATATTCCAGAAAATACAGTTTGTGCCTCCTACGACCCGCCCCAACCGTCTTGCCCGTCTGTGGATCCTGCACAATACAAGTATCAGAAGAAAATGAGACAAACAGGCCCGCCATGCATAAAGAGCTAATAGAAATTAAATTCAAGCACAATTGTGGAGCCACATAGACGGGACCAAGTGTTAGACGACCAGATGGATCATTTTGTGGGGTAATAGAGCCATACTGAGTAATGGACAATGGTTGTCCAGCAGCTGTGTAGATAGGAGGAAGAGAGGATGAAGTAAAGACAGAGGATAAAAGTGAGGCATTACAAGTCATATGAAAGGAACAACCAGAGTCAAAAATCCAGAGATCATTCATACCAGAGACTGAAGGATTAGCTGAAGAACCAGCAAAATGCATACCAGAGAGTTGTGCGGCGGATGTAGAGGTGATATGTTGAAAAGCATCAAGTTGACGGCGAAGACTTTCAATAGCTTGAATAGTAGAGTCTGAAGTAGTAGAAGGTATAGCATTGGCCAACAATCCTGGTGTACGAGAGGGTTGAGACTGAGGGGGTCGCCGACCACGTCCAGTACCTGAGGAACGTAACTCAGGATGAAGCTTGAAGCATGTCTCAATGCGGTGTCCTTCCTTCTTACAATATTTGCAAGAGAGCTTAGATCGAGCCTGTGGAGAGGGAGCCTGTGGAGAAGTATAATTCATAACAGGAGCAGTGACAGGTACAGACAAAACAGTCTCGAGTGAAGAGGTAGGAGTGTCTGTTGACAAATTGAGTCGTGCTGTCTGCTGCCGGGTCTCATAAGCAGTGAGAGCTCCCATAACTGAGGCCAAAGTCGGAAATTGAGGCTGGTGAAGTAGTTGATCAGCCATAGTTGAATATTCAGGAAGGGACTGAAACAATTGATGCACCTCATGCCGTTCGTACCAGGCTAGCCAGTCTTCATATGTGGAATTACGTCCAGGAAGCATGGAGCGTAACTCTGTCCAAAAAGCTTGCATTTGTCCAAAATGGGACTGCAGAGATGAACTACCTTTGCGTTGTAGAGAAATGCGTTGCAGAAGATATGCCTCCCGTGCACCCGAGCACTCAGTGAAACGCTCAGTGAGACGAGTCCACATGGCCTGAGCAGAGGGAAGCGAGCCAATCTCGACAGTGAGACCAGAGCCAACACAGCGAGTGAGATAATCCATAACACGAAATTCCTGCAATTGCCACTCTGAACTCTCCTTGACATAGAGAGCACGAGCAGTCTGAAGATCGACATCACCACTGCCAGAGGCAATAGTACTGGATGAAGCAACAGTGCTGATGGACGGTGGAACTGGTCCCGTACTGGTGAGATGATCAAGCAAACCAGCGCCACGCAAGGCATTGGTGACAATGGTGGACCACCCTGCCCAGTCACTTTGATCATTGAGGGGCAAAGGTGGTTTGGGAATCTTCTCTGAAGGAGCCATAACAGCAATCTTGAGACGTTAAGATGTCGAGATGCTGTTACTAATGTCGTTCGTTTGAGGCCGAGAGACGGCTTGAAACGACGATGCCGTTAATTTGAGACCGAGAGACGGTCTTGAAACGACAATGCCGTTAAAATAGAACCCGAAGGTTAGAATGAAACCCGAAGGTTTAAAATAGAACCCGAAGGTTAGAATGAAACCCGAATGTTTAAAATAGAACCTGAAGGTTAGAATGAAACCCGAAGGTTTAAAATAGAACCCGAAGGTTAAACGAGAACGCGAAACGCGTTAAGAGGCCGCAAAACGACAAGGCCAAAATATCTGGCAGATGAACGCCAAATAATTAAAAATAAAAATAAAAAAAAATAAAACATTAAACGGCTGCAAAGCAATAAGGCCAAGATTTGGCAAAAGAACGCAAAAGCGTTAAAAATTTTATTGAAAGGGAAATAGCCCTAGCTCTGATACCATGTTAAAGTAAGAGAGAGAGAGAATCTTGGGTAAATTTCCCTTGAATTGAATATTGAGTGTGCACATATATTTATACAAGTAGAGGAGTGTGAGGTTTGTTCTCCCAAGCAATGTGGGACTAAAACCCACTACAATACACTATTATCAACACCCAGGAACACCTTCTTCAAAATATTCGAGTAGGAAAAATGTCACTCTAAAGCACAGAAACCTTAGATAGATCAAGGGGACCAGTTATGTACTTTTCTGAGAGTTGTGAACAGGAGAGAAAGAAGAAGAAGAAAACATCATCCCCTCATTATAAACATCATAAATCAAGATGATAAATTATAAAACATCAAAAGCCTTTATTCTGCACTTTCTTTGCATCTATCATTGGGAGGATTTGAGTGACCGATCTTTTGTCTGACCGATGGTGCACCCTAATTAGGATTCTTCTTAACTAGGGCAAAGTTTTAAGAAAACAAATTCTTAATACACAGAAAGATGAAGGTTTAACCATGTTGGTCTATTCACCACTCAATCGCCTTGGTTTTAAAGCAGCAGACTCCCAAAGAAATCTATTGCAATATAACAGTTAAGCAGCCTATTGCACATTGCTCAAAGATATATTCTGCTGCTTGTGAACCTGGCTCGGGTGGTAGAGGGGTCAAGGTGGTTTAAGAAGTCTCAGATATAAGTCTTCCAACCAAACAAAAAAGGAGAGAAAAAACTAACAGGCATCTAGCTTTTGATGAGCAAGTAGCACTTCTACATACAGAAAGAGAATTATTCTCCTTACAAAGCGATCATCGACCTCTTGACACAGCAGGAAGAGGGGAATCCGATGAGGTGATCGGCATGATATAATTATCAAACCCTATACTCTGATATAATGACAGAGAGCTAAAGTTCATAAAACTTGGCAATAGCTCGGATAGTTCTGCATCTCTGTCTAAAATTTGCACCACTTGCCGCATGCTTGGCCTAGCTTCAGGAACTGGATGTGAGCATAGCAATCCGAGCTTTAATACTAACTCGACTTCACCGACACAATACTCTCTCAATCTTTGGTCCACTGTCTCCATCAGCAAACCCATCTTCCAATTCTCAAGTACCCAATCCCCAAGAACCACGTCTTCACCGTCTGCTTGGAACTCAATTGGTCTCCTACCACAAACCACTTCAAATAGGAAGACACCAAATGCAAATACATCAGTCATGGTCGAACCCTTTCCAGTCATAGGAAGCTCAGGTGCCAGATAACCCATTGTTCCAACAATACGAGTAGTTTGAGGATCAGAGCCACGATCATATAATTTTGCAAGGCCAAAATCTCCAAGCTTTCCGGTCAATTCTCTATCTAACAACACGTTGCTGGCCTTGATGTCTCTATGGAGCACAACCTTCTCCCAATCTTCATGGAGGTATAAAAGACCTGAAGCCACCCCTTTGATGATTTGGAACCTTTGAGTCCAGTTGATAGTAGGCTTCTTTCGACCATATAAGAATTTATCAAGACTACCATTCTCCATTAGATCATAGACCAAGAGGAGCTCTCCTTTACGGCGGCAGTAGCCTAAGAGCTGAACAAGGTTTCGGTGGCGGAGCTGGCCAAGGCTAACAATTTCAGCCACAAACTCTCTGATGCCTTGTCTTGAATCATGAGAGATTTTCTTAACTGCAATCTCCATCTTGGAGTTAGGCAACTCACCTCTGTAAACTCTACCGAAGCCTCCACTCCCAAGTAAAGTTTCCTCTTTGAACCCTTTTGTGGCTTGAAACAGATCCTTGTATGAAAATCTATGAGGACCATAGTCGAGCTCCCAATCCTCAAGCAGCTCAGCATATTTGTTCCTCTTCCTCACTATAACAACAGTCAAAGCAACAACTAGTAACACAAAGAAACATGAAACTATGACCAGCCATGTGGCCATAACTACAGACTTCACTTTCCGTTTATGAACAGGTAGTGAAGGAAGCTTTGTATAATCAAGAGGTCTTGCTACCCCATTCATCTTGAAGCTCCACCCAAGAATGTAATGCTCAGTATGAAAAGGGCCATCCGATGAAGAGAAACCTACATGCATGGAATCAAGCATCAAGCTTGAAATATCAATAGTCGAGGACAAGAGGGGCCTTTGAGGTTTAGGCATTCCCATGGGGGATAAGGTAACATTGATCTGAATCTCTTCACCATCAAAATCTATCCATACTTGCATTGGATTGCCACTGATTAGAGTCAAATTTTGAAATGAACCAGTACTATCTTCATAGTAGCCAGCAGGACATGACTTGTTGGAGATCAAGCTGTTGATGTCAATTCCAACGTGATTGTCATTGATATCTTGCAATTCAGGGTTCTGAATGGTGTCAAGTTCAACGGCCAAGATGTGGTTGCTCGCTCTTCCATTGTTACTTTCCGTGAAGATGCCCAAATACTGGGGTGGAGAAGGGAGAGAGAAGTTAGTAGTACGAGAAGCAAAGAAGGTGATGCCTTGGCCACTGAGATCAGAGACCTCAGAGAGGACAGCAAACACAAAAGTAGTGGAGAAGGAGAGGGTGCTACCGGTTTCAGACTTAAAGTGGAGGGGAAGAGGGTAGAAGGCATGGCCTGTCATATCCTGTGTTTTGTTGGTCAGCTTAAGAAGGCCATTAGACGTGACTGAAGCAATGCCATCAATGCTCAGGTTGGTATTCCTGAATCCATTGAAAGTGAAGTCATATTCCCCTGAGGCTGCAAGTCTTACGAAAAGGAAGAAGGAGAAGGAGAAGAATGTTTTCATCGAGAGGGATGGTATTTTCGTTCCTGCAAAAGGCGAAGAAACCTCTCGAGGTTTAATTAAGTATCTTGGGAGTTTTTGTTGTGTGGCGTGTTTCACATTAACATGTCGCCAAACAGCTGAATTATTAGTCTCAAGCACTTGCTGATAATATATAAAACAAACAACCTTGAGCTAACAACCGTAAAAAACAGACGTGATAAGACCTGAGATTTAATAGGCATACTGGGCTCATTGCCTTCAACTTCATATATAGTATACTATATATATATATATATATATATATATTTGAAGCAAAAAAGGGCGAGTTGTCCTGTTCATTGAAAATGTATATATCAACCAGAAGGCTACAGAAGTTTCAAACAAGGGGGGGGGGGGGGGTTCGCAAGCAAAGAGATTTGCTGAGAAGGCGCGAGCCGGACCTATGTCGTCACCCTCCAGTCCACAGCTTCAGAGTTTCCAAGCCTTCCGAAATCCAGGTAAATAACAAGGTATCTGACTTAAACTACCATTACATCCTACTAACCTATCCAAAACCAAAAACAAGCTCCACCCGAAACATTACAGCCAGAAGTTCCGGAATGATCCGATTACACAGAGGTCTATGAAACCACTGCCACTGCAAAAGAAAGAATCTGAGATGACTCAAGAGGAGCTTAGAGAAAGTCAGCTGGGGGCTCATCCCCCTATGTGAAGTTTTCTTCCACAACATCATTCCCGGAAAGAAGGTCTTTTACACTGGTCATTATCACTAATCTTTTACATAGCAGTATAAGATGATAAATTGATGTATGAGTTGGTAATACATAGTGTTTAACGTAGCGGTTACAGATAAAAGAAAGGTCTTTTACATAGCTTGGAAAGAAGGTGGAGAGGATGCAGCAAATTAAACCGGCATTAATTGATCCTTCAAGATCAGGATTTTTTTTTTGCCATTTCTAAGTCTAGGAAGGGTCAGATATACACAGTACTGAAGTGGCTTGGAGTTGTTTGTACAACCCAAAGCCATGGAAGATTAATTTATACTTCTAAAATTTCCAAACTGAAAGAGTTTTTTGAGAACGGTACCAATGTAAATCTGTATTTTCATTTGATCACTATAAAAATGGCCTAGCATACCTCTCAACCCCAGAAAATTTACTTTGCCGCCAACAGAATAATAAACTTTTACTGACTGTTTACAATATGCCTATGGTGCACTAGAAGCTAACGATGATCCATTATGAAAGCGAGTAGTATAAGATGATAAATTGATGCTCAAGAAAGAATTATTGAGCGGTAAGCCAACCTATCTTGACCAAATTAAAACACAGGAAGTTACCCATATCTTGAAAAAGATGAAACATTGATCTATATCAGACGAAATCCAGATCTAACGACTAGAGATAATGGTTTGAATAAATATGAATCAGGCACCATTCTTCTTCTTGTAGAAATCATCATCCACATCAGTCCAGATAAATCATTTATTGTTCATGTGCCTCCATTGAACTATAATTTAGAAGATTGTCACGGAATTTCACATTTTTAGCCAAACAAGGCCTTGCATTGCTGCTTGTCCTCGTTTGACCACACTAAAAAGTTGAGATGGGCAGGCATCTCGGCTTCTTTTAACCAAAGTTAACTGCAGAGTAGGGTCTTCATGGCCCAGAAAGAGATAAAGTTACACTTTACTCATGCTCAATCAATTTACATAACAGAAGACCACTGTAGGTTATCAAGAGAGGAATTCTGGGATACCATTGATCACCCTCATCACCTGCTGTGCTCAATGGAAGAATCAAGATACTGTGGTACTACGTAAGTTCATAACGCCACAGAACAAAGTCCATGCAGATGCTGGCAGCAGCCCACTGCTTTTAGATGACTGAATAAGACTGAATAATATGTACTATAGTTAAAGCCAGCGGGGGATGTTAAAATGGACTCCCGCCAGTTGAGGCACAAGGAAGAGGCACTTGCATGCAACAAGATCATCAAGTTTAGTGTGCCCATTGTCACAACAGTTAGTCAAATAACCGTCTTAAAATCAGGGTGATTTCTAACCAAATCATATCGTATATAAAAGTGGCTTCGATTTTCATAGTACCTCTAAAATCAAGCTTGAGTTTGTATTTGAAGTAACAAACATACGGTTCATATTTTTAACTAAAATATTTCACTACTTTATTACATATAAGGAAATAATCAACCAGCTTATTTGGCTTAAGAGATAGCCTAGGCTAAAAAATGGTTTACCATCCTGCATATCTAGGTGGTTTAAGAGATAACCTGGGTTTCTCAAAAGTGAGTAAATTAGGTACAAAATGAAAACAACAACAATAATAAAGAGATCTTCAACTACCATTTTCTGAACAGTACTGCCTCTCCCATGCCTTCTGTTATTATTCACTATGAAATTGTTTTGCTTTGAAATCATAAATTCCATCAGGAAGAGTTCAACAATCATAAATTCCATCAGGAAGAGTTCAACAAAAAACAATTTCCCAATATAGAGGGATACAAACGTTTGTGATGTCTTGCCCAAATTCTTCCCCTCAAAAGAAAATAGAAAAATCAATACCTAAAACAATAGATGATCACATTGGTGTTACATGTTAGATGTCCTATGTTGCACCAACATCTAGCCAAATGCATGCCAAAGTCCATATCATCACCCTCTCAATGACATGTGGTTAGGCCACAGTAGCATGGAACTTGGTTCGTTCCAGTTCACGGAACGGGAACAGGAGTGTGACACGCTACTTATTTGGAATCGGGTACAAGGGGGTAGGCTTATATGGTACACTAGGGAATGTGGTGAGCTTTAAGTTTGATTTTTAAATGTAAGAATTTGAGTGCTTTTACGTACAATTTCCTTGCAAAAGTCAATTTCAAGGATCAAACTTAAATAATGCTATAAGAATTTTCGATATGCAATTATGGTACATTGTTTGTTCTTTTTTCCCCAAAATATTACTAATTTGAATTCTAAATCTGGACGTTGGGCATGCAATCCGATTCGCTAGTGTACCGCATTTTGGGACGATTGACCCGTGTCGTGGTTCACTATAGTGTGTTCCTGACATATATGGACGCAACCCACCTATCCTATTGAGAAAAAAAAAGAGAGTATGCAAATGACTCGTTCCTAACATAATGGGATTGGTGATGTTCCCCTCTACCAGCTACTAACCATCTCCAATGGCCAACAATCTCAACAATTTTTTGATGCAATGGCAAGGCAAGTAGGAAGGCATTTGAAAAGGAGGGGAGAGAAAGTGAGGAGAAAGGCAAAATTTGCCTTCCTGTTAACTTTCAAAATGGGCCCCACATGTCATAAACTTTTTATAATTATTCTCACTTTGTTTTTAAATGACTTTTTTGATCAATAATTATTTGAAATTAATTTTTTATTTTTTCACCACTATTTATTATTTTTCAAGATCTATAAATAGAGATTAAGTTTGTATTTTTTGGACACAAAAAAAAATTTAAATTTTTGCTTAGTTATCATAGTTGAGTGATGTGGAGGAAAGATAAAGTAAAAAAACTTTTTGAAAAACTAGTTGTTGTGAAGTTGAAAGGCAATTGAAAAAGGCAAGTGATGTGGAGGGAGAATAAAGTGAGGTGGAAGGAGAGAGAAAGGCAATATTTGCCTTGCCGGGAGAATAAAGTGAGGTGGAAGGAGAGAGAAAGGCAATATTTGCCTTGCCATTGGAGATGGTCTAAGGTCACGAGTAATCTTAAGGAGTTTTTGTATAGGGTTCATAGGTCCTATCCCATAGGTTAAAGTTTTTTATTCAGAGGTTCATAAATTCAAGCTAAATGTTCAAAATTTTCTCTAGTGCATTCAAAAGTTTAGAAGTTATCCTTGTTCTTTAAAGAAAACACTCTTTGGCACTTACAGCTTGTGCAATTAAAGTATATATATATGTACTATGTGCACTTGGTAGACAACATATATATGATTGAGCTGATGCTGGTCCTGCTCAGAGACTCAAGAGTACGTGCGGCGCTTCCATAGTGCTTGGTATGTGCTCCGTTAAGTACGCCACTGTGATATTACTAGTTTAGCGTTGCTATAAAATACATTGTCTAAAAGCTGGATGGGGTTTTTGTTTTGTTTTTCCGGATTTGCCATCCACTTTTCAGTTTATCTTCATTTTTACCATTTGAAATTTGTTTTGGGACCAAGGTTATTTTCGGGGGTTCATGCCAAATTTTATCATTTACTGTTCATCCAGCCCCCCTCTTCGGATGAAAAAAAAAAAAAAAAAAAAATCTGTCCCTCACCCACTCTCGTACCCCCCATACTCTCTCCCATACCCTCCCTCACACACAACACACCTCCTCCACTTGAACTCCTCCGATCCCTGCTCACCTCTTCTCTCCATTTTCTCCCCAGTTCCAACGAACCCATCTCCTCTTCTAACAATTACCCCATCCTCCCTTCTCTCCTCAATCTCATCACTACCTTCAAAACCCACCCCCAATCTCAAAACCAAACCCTAGCCCTCCTCCGATCCGCCCCCCCCCTTCAAACTGACGAAGGATTTGGTCTGCTCTGCACTGTGGGAGCTGGCCATGGCATCGGCAACGGCGATCTTCTTCATTCCCCTTTTGCCCATTTGGTTGGTTTTTTCTCTCTTTCTAATTGTATATTCATATTTAGTAATGGCGGATCCAAATAACCCCTCCCTCACCCAAGGCCCTGCCGTTCACATCCCTCCCATCCCATTGAGACGGAAATCTAAGAGATAAGGGAGGGTGTTGAGTGATGTGATTGGAAGCATGGTGGAGATTTGTTTGGGAGATATAAAGAGGAGGTAAGAGGATAAGCGTTCTCTCCTAAAAATTGATCCCTACATCTCGAAAGCCTAAATCCTCCAAAGATTATCATCAAAAGAAGAAGATTTGTGGCTGTATATCATCAACCTCACACGTAAGTATCTTTCATTCAAGAAACTATAACCTTATATTTATTAAAATCTTAGAATCTTGCAATTCTTTTCTTTATAATCAAAGGAAATTATAATATAACTGCCTCTAAAAGTGAGTCAACCCTAACCCTAATCGATGAAAATGGCGAGGCAGCAAGCTGGGGTTGATTCCTAATGGATATTGTAGTATCCGACCCGAATCCGATCCGTTTGCACCCCTACTGTTTCACTGATACATGCACTCACTCAAAATTTGTGAAACCTTATAAATTGCTTATCAGTTATTACTGATTTTAATAGTGTTGGCCTACAATTTTGGGGTTGTTTGCTTGATAGGAAATTACAACGCTTTATTGTTGTTGTTGCTGTTGTTGTTTATCTGAAAATTACAGTTGCAGTTAACTAAAATCTTTTTTTGCAACTGTACGGGCATCTCAATCATGATACTCCTTTGATTTGAACTCACCCCTAATTGATTTGGTAAGGTAGCAAACTGTTGAAGCCAATTGTTAGGGATGGGGATTTACATGGATCTTCGAGGACTTGAACCAAAGCCAACCCGTTTCACCTGAATTTGATTCAGTACATGAGCTGTTTCAAGATTTATGCTTTTATAATCTAAGCCCAATTGCTTTGGCAGGGTAGCTGAGCTGCAGTCACTTGTAATTAGGGGTTTAAATGTCCGAAACGATCTTAAACGAGTTGGTCCATTGCTCAAGGCTATTCATCATACACTGAATTTGCAATGAAAATATATTTTCCAAAATAATTTTGTAATGATTAAAATAATGGATTTGAAGTAGATTTTGTAGGAAATGCTAGCATTTGCTACCCTTTCTTTTTGCAGCAAACCAAACGATCCCTAAATTGTTTAGATGTCCAGTCTTTGTTGCTGGAACTCTCCAACGAGGTGATGATGATTTGCTGCCAATCACCTCAATGGTTTTGGTTATTGGTTAACATGTTAGCCTCAAGTCCCCATAAAATTTGAGGGTCTAATAAGCAATTTCAATGATTTGAGGGACTAATATGGAATTTTTGAAGATTTGGGTGACTAATATCTAAAAAACCCTTTTTAGTTATATTTGTAAAAGTAATTTGATAAAAAAGGGATGATGATGATGATGAAGGATTTGTAGTGTTAAAGTTGTTTTTTTTCAATCCTCTCGATTAGCATTTTTCTTATGAATTTCTTCTGTATCTTTCTTTCACTACTATGGCGAGTCAACACTGGAGGTCAGCTATATGCTAGGCAGCCGTTGCAGCCATTCCTAGAACTTCACATAGTAGGAGCTCTTTCTGGGATGATTCCATGTTCATAATTTTCTGAACTTATTTTCCAACTACAACCTCATAAATGTACATGTTAATGATGAAATGGCAAATCTGAGCCTTCTATACTTTGAGTTCCCGTCATTTCTTCACGGTTAATATAACTCCATGTTAGATGGGCGAGGAATTTTGTCGAGGATTGGCCCAAAGCGTGGGAGTTGATGATTTGGGTGCTGGGGAATGAGAAAAGGTTTGACTTGGCTTGGAGTCTGGTGCGTAGGATGCATAGGAACTAGGAAGTCGTTGCTGACCGCGGAGAATATGGTGGTTTTGATGAACATGTGAGTTCCTACGGTTTAGGTGTTTGTGATTTTGCCTCTGTTGGGTTTTTTGAATAAAGATGTGAACTTTTCTGTAGGATGCTGCACTTGAACTGCTTTTTCATGTCATGGATATTTTATAATTAGAAACGTACGCAGCATATGCTTACAAACATTGCCTGTGACATGTATTGCTTTTTTGAAATATGATTTTTTTTCATTGCAATATTGAAGGTCAATAATAGACAAGGGTATTGTAATTATCTTCTATTATGTGCATATATTTTTAACTTACAGTATAACTATAATTAATGAGATCTGTATTCAAAATTGATGTTTGATAGCAAACTACCCATCATCAATCTCTCAGCCAGCCCCTTCTCCGATCAGATTTATTACATTATTTTTTGCATTTTAATTTATCATATTATTTTAAATGCATATCCTTGTATATAGGAATTCCAACCCACGGAGAAAGGGGGTATGTTCTATGAATTTCAGCACAACACGAGGTTGGTGAAACCAATTATTCTTCACTTTCAGGTCAGCTGAAGGTTTCTTGTTTAGGTTTCAAATTCTTGTTGTATTTGTATTTTACTTTGGTATTAATTAGTTTATATGCTTCTTGAACTGATGGATTAATATATGCATATATAAGTTCTGCCTTTGGGGATAGGTTTACTAATCGGACAACATTTAGCACATGCAATAAAAAAAATTACTTTTTACTCATACCATAGGTACTCTAGGTGGTGACTTTTTATTTTTAATTTTTTTTATGGAAACCAGTGATCATGTTTTTCTTCTGATGAGGTTCCTCAAGCCATCCTTGTACTAAGTATATATATATATATATATTTATCTAGCTTCCTATGGAAACTCTCATGTTTTCTTAACATCGGTCATATTCCACATGTGAGGTTATTCTCCGAATTTAGTTCTTCTTTTAATTTACTTTTCTCTATTGTGTATATCTAGATTGATGGATCATATCTTCTATGTTCGCAACTGAGGAATTTGGCCTGGCTTCCATCAAAGCATGATGTTTACATCATGTCACATTATTCTGTCATGCATTGGTCAGCCTTAACAAGGAAAGCATGTGAAGTGCCGAACTGAGTATTTAGTTTGCTTGATTTTTCTAATTTTACATTTTTATAAATTTCATGTTATAGCCACTGAAACTTTAGGATTTTTTTCTTTTGTTTTTATATATACAGTTTGGAAAGAACTAGAGAATGAGAATCCTACATTCTTCAGGCTTTACAATATGTTGATTGTGATCAAGAAACAGATTGAAAAATACAATGAGCTCCTCGTGCATCAGAAAAATGCCATGAATCAGAGAAATTCTAATGGTGATCCATCACGTATGATTGCTTTCAATTATTTGCAATATGTAATTACTTCCTATTTTTTTAATTTTCCTTGCATTCTAGAGGAAATTCAATTGCAACTTTATGATTGGATGTAAATAGAACATTTTTGGTGGTTGTATTATTCAAGACTTACACATTGAATTTCTTGATTAATCCTAAAGCTTGAACTTAGTTCCAATTTATTATAGCGCATCTTATGTTAGGAACCGATATTTACCAAGTGGCGGAGTTGCTTCAAAATCTCCTAATGGTGATCCACCATGTATGATTATTTAACATTTTTGCAATATTTTATTATTATTTTTTGATTTTCCCTTAGACTATGAATGAAAATCACTTGGCATGTTTCATAGTTGACAAGAGTAAAACATTATGAACAGTTGTATTAGGCTAAAGGTTATTTAATTTTACACCTGAACTTTCCATTGTGTTAATTTTGTAAAAATTCATGAATTTTGCAGGCATCATAACAGCAAATGTTAGCAACCAAGATTTACCCAATGGAGTTCCTTCTGTACCTGTACCTAATGGTGAGCAAATAGGTCTGGTTATTTTCGTAATTGCAATTTCTTTATTCCTATTTTTTTGTGTTTATTCTTTGTTTCTAAAATAATATAATTTTTGAAAAGCAACACATTGGCTTATTATCCTAGCCAACCAGTAATAATTATGCATTTCATTTTCTATATTTTCTGATCAAGCCTGAAGCTATTTCCAATTCATTGCATATTTGCATCTGAAGTTCATCATTGCTTTAATTTTGTAAAATCTCATGAATTTTGCACGTAGCACATCGGCCTACGTTAGCAACCTAAAATTTTTCAGTGGAGTTCCTTGTATATCTCTTCCTAATTGTGATCCAACATGTATAATTATCTTTTGCACTCTTGGATATCTTCTTTCTATTTTTGTGAATTTCTCATATTAATTAATTGTACCATACATGAATTGGATATCTTCTTTCTATTTTTGTGAATTTCTCATATTAATTAATTGTACCATACATGAATTACAATATTTATCTCATTACTTTCTATTTTTGTGAATTTCTCATATTAATTAATTGTACCATACATGAATTACAATATTTATCTCATTATCAAGCTTGAATTATGTTCCAATTAACTACATTTTACACCTAAAGTTCCTCATTTTTAAGTATTCCATGTAGCAACCGAAACAATATTCAAAATAACCCATGTATGGTAACTTTCAAAGAATAGGATGAGGAATCCAGAATTTTATACGCAAGTCACTAGGTTTAAAATTTATGTTATTAGTTATTGTCATTCATTTGATTTATCATATGATAGTTGTTACACGTCCCAATGTTTTTTTTTTCTTGCTAAAGTTGAGAAGTTTTGTTTGCCATTCCCTCAGCTTCTCAACAAACTTGTACAAACTTGTAATTATTTGTATGACTTTGATTTTAGTTGTGCTTCAACTATAAACCTATGATTTCATGTGCATATTTACCAACATTATGTGATGATTGTAGAATACTAATTTTACATGGAACTTGTGTTTGTAAGAACTTTATAAGTCACCATATACATGACAACTAAAAAAAGTTGTATGTAAGCAACCTACAATCTATCTACATTGTATTGAATGGCTATTATTGTGGGTTATTAATGAAAATATTGTTACTCATGAGTTTTAGTTGGTGACTTTTTTACTTTTAAGCTACGATGATTGTCAAATATTCTGAGATTAGCAACATATGGACACAGTTCGTGTCCTTGTTTTGTACTGAACTATCTTTTGATAATTCTGATTATTAATGAACGGGGTATAACCCTCGTTTTTACTTAAAAAAAAATATTCTGAGATTAGCAACCTGTAATGTTTATTGATATTACATTGGATGGCTAACAATGATGATATTGACTAAGTTCTGAGTTCCCAGCCATAGAATTCATAAACATGTGGCTAGTATATTTTACGTGATATCAACAAATATTTATGACTAATCAAGTTTGATGTGATTTTCTATGTCATATAAGCATTTATGACTAATCAAGATGATTATAGGGTTTTACAGGTCTCATAAGAAAGTTTCGCAAATTCACGTGCGTATTTCATAAATTTGTGAATAATCATGTTATTACAGGATTCATGTGATCTTTTCCTGTCAAATAGATATTTTTCATGTCAAATTAGGTGTGTAGTTCATAACAGTTAAAATAATCATGTTATTATATGTTTCGTGGGATTTTTTCTTGTCAAACAGGTATTTTTCATGTCAAATCAGTCACTTAATTAATAACAGTTAAAATAATCACGTTATTACATGTTTCATCTGATTTTTTATGCCAATTAGATACTTATGACGAATTCGGCTATTTACTGGTTTTTCATGTTATATTTGCACTTTTATTTTTGGTAAAATTACCTCCATTAACGATCACAAACATATTTGTCTTTACTGAGTGGTAAACTTACCATGGTTACCATATACACTTTTCCCTACACAATTTAATATCAACCAAATACAAGAAAAATAAAAAATGTCTAATCACTAAAAGTTCCCCCCCTTTTTCTGATGCCAACCAAACACAAGAAAAATGTATACATTGGTTTCCCATCATGTTGTATGTGTGAAACAAACGCAAACCATATATTTCTTGAAAAAGTTTAGAAAAGCCAAAGCTCGGGTTTCTTTACATAGAATTGTATTTCCCAATACATGAGAAACGAACCAAACAGCCCCTAAAAGGAGCGATTTTTACTTATTTTTCTTTTCCATTTTCACTTTGTTTTCTTTCTCTCTTTGCTCTCACGCTCTACAGCAGCAAGTCTAAGCTTTCATCTGAATTCTTGACCTAATCTTATGATTTCAATTGTTCTTCTCTCAGTTGCTTCCTAGGAAATGCCGGCGACTCGCCACTCTAGATATCAGCTGCTTATGGTGGTGCTAATATAGGAACATCTACTTCGAGTTCTCAAATTGTGGTGGTGAATTTTGTGAATTTGAGATCGAGAATGTTACTTTGTGTGTTGTTACTAGATTTCTCCAGGACGTTTTAATTGTCATGGTGCAGTGAGTATGCATTCTTCATTCTCCCCGCGTTACGCGGGGTTTTTTTGCTAGTAAGATCATAGACCAAGAGGAGCTCTCCTTTACGGCGGTAGTAGCCTAAGATCTGAACAAGGTTAAGGTGGCGGAGCTGGCCAACGCTAACAATTTCAGCCACAAATTCTCTGATGCCTTGTCTTGAATCATGAGAGTAGGGCTGGGCGTATTCGGTTCGGTTTTAAGCCCAATCCGCATCCAATCCGAATTTTTCGGGTTCTCAAAACTCTCATCCAGATCCAGAATTTTTTTCCTTCATCCGAATATTCGGCTCAACCGAAATTCGGTTCGGTTCGGTTCGGTTTCGGTTTTGAACCGAATTAACTCCATTTCACAAAAATCTGGGTAAGTTTTAGTTATATCCAAAACTGAAAAGAAGCAATCAAAACTGAAAAGAAACAATCAAAACTGTACTAAGCCACTTAATCAAATTGTATGATCTGAATATAACTAGCTTAATACACTAGGAGGACCATGTAATTATGTAGCCTTTTTTAGAGAAAGAACAATGTTTGGCAGGCACACACACCTTTTGATGATTTTCGTTAATTTTTAGCTGCCTTTTTCTCATCAAGAATTATCTTATATCCTTGACAGCCTATACTATAGGTTAATTTGATATCCAGCACCAGCAAGCTGTATTCATGTTATCACTGAAATTTGACCAAAACACTAAATTTATCCTTCAACCTCAACATCTTGTATTGATTTACGGAAATCTCACTTAACTATATCAGCGTACTCAAATATATGTTAGTATAAACTCCACCCCACAATTCTTAAATGCTAAACATTCAGCCATAAATTTTCTTCACACCCAAGGCTCGCAGCTACTTTTTGTTTAAGAATTCGGTTCGGTTTTTTTTGGGCGGTTCAGGGGTTCAAACCGGATCCAGACCGGTTTAATTCGGTTCGGGCGGTTTAGAGACTTCTTCTCATCCATTTAATTCGGTTCGGTTAACCGATCCGTTTTTTCGGGCGGTTTTTTCGGTTGAACCGGTTTGTTTCGGTTTTTGCCCACCCCTACATGAGAGATTTTCTTAACTGCAATCTCCATCTTGGAGTTAGGCAACTCACCTCTGTAAACTCTACCGAAGCCTCCAGTCCCCAGTAAATTTTCCTCTTTGAACCCTTTTGTGGCTTGAAACAGATCCTTGTTTGAAAATCTATGAGGACCATAATCGAGTTCCCAATCCTCAAGCACCTCAGCATATTTGATCCTCCTCTTCACTATAAGAACAGTCACAAGAAAAAATAATAACACAAACAAACATGAAACTATGGACTCGGCCACAACTACTGGCTTCCCTTTTCTTTTAAGAGCAGGTAGTGAAGGAAGCTTCGTATAATCAAGCGGTCTTGTTACCCCCATTAATCTTGAAGCTCCACCCAAGAATGTAATGCTGAGTATGAAAAGCACCATCCGATGAAGAAAAACCTACATGCATAGAATCAAGCATCAAGCTCGAAAGATCGATGGTCGAGGACAAAGGGGCCTTTGTGGTTTAGGAGGGGCCTTTGTGGTTTAGGCATTCCCATTGGCGATAAGGTAACCTTGATCTGCATCTCTTCACCATCAAAATCTACCCACAATTGCATTGGGTAGCCACTGATTAGAGTCAAATTCTTAAACGAACCAGTACTATCTTCATAGTAACCAGCAGGACTCGACTTGTTGGTGACCAGGCTATTGATATCAATTCCAACATGGTTGTCATTGATATCTTGGAATTCAGGGTTCTGAATGGTGTCAAGTTCAACCGCAAAGATGTGGTTGCTTGAGTTGCCATTGTTATGTTCAGTGAAGAGACCCAAGT